GGACGCGATCAAGAAGGACCTCACCGAATCTGAAGTAACGGCAGAAAATGGCGTAGACAGAAGGAAAAGGAGGTGGCTAGTAAGAACAGCGCACCCCATCATTAACAGAAGGAAAAAGAAAAAAGAAGAAGCCCCTTTAGGCTGATATCTATTGAGTTGAATGTGTGTACCTGGGCTCTGCACTTGGATTACAAAGAATCACTTTCTAAGCATATTGAAACATGCTGTGCAGGTGACCATATTCTAAAACATTCTATAAAACCTCTTACTAGAAGAATCCAGAGACGCCATTTGCATCGATGTTTGTTATTTCCCAATCATCTCTGCTTGTTTTGTTTACAAGTAATAGCCATCAGATACTACCTTCCCAACCACATATGCTGGAAAATCAAAAACCAAAAGAACGAGGTGGAAACTGATTCGAAGCTCCTTTGGTTTCTTCTCGCATATGACTCGACTACCTTCTATGACTCTGTCTCACTACAATCATGCTATCAAATGGATGACCCGTTACTGACCTGAGATCCACTGTGGTATATTTATTTCCTCGTAGGACACTCCGGCTTAATGCTAGTAAATATGAAATCTTTTCCAAGTACCGATAACCTAAGTTCCGATAACCTGAAAAAGGAGCGTGAAGTTGCCGGTAGTTAGGAAGAGCTGGTGAGAGAATTTGCCCACGTGGGAATGATCAAAGGCCCTTGTTCTGGTGCACCATTCACACTTCGAATCCCTGTGTCAGTGCAGCACTTGGGAACGGTAAATAATATCAAGCGCTCTAATCGATATCCATATCGAAGCATAGAAACCGGTGAAACCAGTTAAAATGTTTTCAAAAATACAGCTACATTCGCTTCCAAAATCGTTTTGGGAAGTTGTGGATATTGATTGGGATAGGATGGGTAACGTCGGTAACAGATGGGCAACATGGATATTGATTGGGCGCGCGCAAAATCAATTCTTGTTCCAAAGGGCGCGAACGACAAATACTTAGCAAGTTAATGACACGAAGATAAAAACAAAATAAAGAACATAAAAAACAATTCGATTCCAGCCTGTGCCTCTTCAATCATAATATTTATATTCAGTACAGTACCTGATGGCCCTGTTACCGTAATCATGTACTTATGCCACTGTCAAGTAAATCTTTATGCTTATCTTCATACAGTATGAACAACGTACAACGTATGTACAGAACAGGATAAGTGAAATTGTATAATAAAATCTTTGTTTATTTTTTTGTTGTTGTCTGGTTGTTGACGTTGTATATCCATCAACCATTGAATATATTCACTGTCATTATAGGATTTGAAGACGGCCGAACGGCACTGAACAAAACAACAGCGAAGCGAAGGATGGGGGACCGGCTAGACGGCACTTTCAATTTGATATTTGCTTTCCAGTCGATTACGAATGTTCGTACAAATCATGTTGAGTGGATTGGCTGGCGAACTTTCCATTTCGAGCACATGAGTCAAAATTGCGAACGCTGAAAAAATAAAATCAAAAATCATGAAAAAATTAGAAATATTAAAAATTAAAAAAATTATATTCTGGTTATAAGGGTAATATTGAGATACAGTCAAGAACAAAAAAAAAACAGCCAGCGATGACATGCTTAAATACAATAATTCACTTTCAGAAAAATATGAATTTCCTCCACGTTCACAACACGACCCATCCCCGCCGTTCCCTGGAACCCATTTAACTCGTCCATCGCTGGGCGTCCTTGGCGGCCAGTCCTGGGCGTTTCAAGCAGAACTTGAGCACCCCGTGCCCTCTTTATGCCGTTTTTTGATTTGATAAAAACAAGTATTCCCCCTGTAGGGCTGATCTTTATCCTAATACGCAGTATAATGAACATAAATAAGTCATAAACATAAACTCCACGCAAAGATAAGATGAAAATAGATGTTTACCTTGATTTACGTACAAGGCCTTCAACCCTACACCAGTGGCAGCCAGAGTTCCGATGCAAACAGCTGCCTTAAACAGAAATTCTCGGGTTGGAAATTCACTTGAATAAATTCCTGGGAAGCCTACCTTATAACGAATTCTTCTACAATAATCCGAGTGCAAGTTATCGGTTACGGTAAGCATTTCGAGTAATACTGGTACGGCCCCTTGTGAGACAAGTGCTTCTTCGTAACGACGAGCTGCCAATCGAGACAGCACGGTAACAATCTGAAAAGCTTGATTCACCGGGTGAAAGACAAAGGGGGCATGTGACATTAGGTCAGAACGCAGCGCTGCGCGAAGCGCGCCACGCGCGACGTGCTGCCATTCCGTGCGTCGCGTTTTTGGACATACAAGTACGTAGGTTGCCTTTTATATTTTGAGATTTGAGAACCGAAACAAATACTATTTATTGAAAACCGGTTTACTGCCTTTCAAAAATCTCCACATTAAGATCTATATACTTTTGTATGGGCTCGAACCAATTTTCGAAGCACTTTTGCCACTCTGATGTAGGT